CAGTTTCCATGAACAAGTTTTACTGTAATGAACGTGCAATTTGGACACTCACTGAGTGTTATTTGCTGTGCCTCTTTGCCTCTGTGATTCATGTTACCTAATTTCAAATTTTCTGAAGAATGGGAAGATTAGTCCTTTATTTCTGTGATCTTCAATGTCTGGCCACTAGAGCTGGATGAAAATTTTCAGTCAAAAATGGCCTTTATTCTGAATTAAAATGTTAATGAAAAATTGTATTTTCTTTCAAAAAATTCTATTTTTGATTAAAAGAATGAACAAAACCAGTTTTTGTTGAAAAACTGGAAAATTTCTTTGAAACAAACTGAAATAAAATGTTAATTTCCTTTGAAAATTGTCACGAGAAATACCATGTCTGGCACAGTCTATTGCCTGCTATTTGGTAGAATTGTAGTAGTGCTATTTTACACTTTTAATGACATTTCAACAAAAAATTCAGAGCACCATGGCGAAATTAAAAAAAAAGAGATTTTTTATTTTCTATCATGGCATCCAGAAATCTGGGTCCGTGACTTGGGCTACTGGATACTATAGTAATGTAAATAATCATCATGAGGGTTGAGTATGTATGATTATGATAAACTATGACACAGGGAGGTCGAGTGACTTTCCAAGGTCCTACAGGGAAGCAGTTTCTTACCACTAGACAGTACTTCCTTCAAATGCACAACAGCTTGTGCATTTGAACATCACTGATTGCAGCCAAAACTGGCATGGCTCTTTTGGAGAGGGGAACCAAAGGAGTGTGTTAAAAGCTGTTGACCTTGAGAGGGTAATGTTATATAATGAAGTGTGGTTGTTAGCTGTTTAACCTAGTCTGGCAAGCCTGTGGAAATGATTCCAGTAACTTCTGGAGAAGACCTTTCCACCTCTGGTGAGTGTTGCCATGGTGAGGACCTGTGCTGTGATGGAGGACAGGAGCATTCTATGTTTTCAGTACTAGGCTCAAAAGGCCCAAGCCTCTGTCTTGGTTGTGGGAATCACCAAATAATGGCATGGCCCCAGCCCACCACTGTGTTCACCAAGGACATAAGTGTGCAGGGCAGAGGGACATTACTTCATAGCAATGGCAGTAACTCCCACAGATTACTATGGGTGCTAAGTGTGCTCCTTGGAGGACTGAACCCATTAGCCTCCTTTAGGGAGGATCTCAGAGCACCCTACCAAAATGAAGGCCACGGTGCCTTTCTTCACATTGAAGAGCACTTTACCTCAGGAGTCGGCCCAATGATTTCAGTGTCACTCTCTGTAGAGTAAGGTGCTACTCTGGAGTGAGTAAGGGGAGGGAGAGTGGATCAGAATCTGCCCTTAACTACCCCCGTCAGACTGGGGAACAGTGTCACTTCCGTTCTGCAAATGGAGAAACCAAGGCATGGCAGGACAAAGGCAACATTTGCGAAAAACCCATGCGTGTTGAGTGCCTTAGAGATGGGCTGTTCCTCGCCAGGCACCTTGAGATCCCTTGGAGGTCAGAGCTGAACTACTCAGCACTTTTGGTAAATCAGACCCTGGGCTTTTCAAGCCTGGCACCCAGAAATGGTTGCACAGTTTTTGCTTTTGTCATTTGAGCAAGGCCACAGAGGGAGTTGGTTCTTGCGCTTGGTGTAGAACCCAAGTGTCCTGCCACTTAATGCCGGACTCCAGCAAGTAGGGCTGGGACTTGCAAAGAAGGTGATGCCTATTGAATTTCAGGGGGATTTGGGCACCTACGGCCCTTAAATTCCTTTGAAAATCCCAGCCAAGATCAGCCTGTCCTTTGTGAACATTGGCTTGTTGGGGGATTCAACCCATAGAAAGTCTTGAAAAATGGAGTTTAAAAGTAGGGTTGGGTTCTTACTATTTTTAAATAGATAGGGGAAATAGCACAGCATCAGTGAGCAAAGTGGGTGATTGTACAGCTGGAATTGTAGCAGGAACTAGCAGTGCTCCCCATAGACGCAATTCATGCCTGTGCAGAAGGTCTATGGGCTGCTTACCCCCTAGGGTGAATTTCACCCAGTGTGAGTTGCTGCACAGAGTATGGCAGCATGTGAGGCTTATGATGAATTAGTAACTAACTGTGAGCAATGATATTTTTAAGTGCCACTTTTCACCCAGAGTGGTTGATCATGTGGCACACTTCACAATACTGAAGTGACATTTTTTCATTGTTCTTGGGACAAGTGGATTTCATTTTAGAATCAAGGTCACAGTGCTTAACTCTGGAGGCTGAACCATAGGCTCTCAAATCCCTCTCTCAGCCTTTGGGTAAAGAGACTTGATTTTCAAAGTGGTGGAGACTTTTAAAATGGTAGTCAATTGGCTCATGATTGGCTCCAAGCACCATCTAAAACATCCCTGACGGGTGTCTATCTAACTTGCTTTTAAATATCTCTGGAGATGGAGAGTCCACAACCGCCTTGGGCAATTTATTCCAGTGTTTAACCACCCTGACAATTAGGAAGTTTTTCCTCATGTCCAACCTAAACCTCCTTTGCTGCAGTTTAAGCCCATTGCTTCTTGTTCTATCCTCAGAGGCCAAGATGAACACTTTTTCTCCCTGGTCCTTATAACACCCTTTTAGGTACTTGAAAACTGCTATCATGTCCCCTCTCAGTTGTCTCTTTTCCAGACTAAACAAACCCAGTTCTTTCAGTCTTCCTTCATAGGTCAAGTTTTCCAGATCTTTAATAATTTTTGTTACTTTTCCCTGGACCTTCTCCAAGTTCTCCACATCTTTCTTGAAAAGTTGTGCCCAGAACTGGACACAATACTGCTACTGAGGCCTAATCAGCGCAGGGTAGAGAAGAAGAATGTCTTCTTGTGTCTTGCTCACAACACTCCTGTTGATGCATCCCAGAATCACATTTGCTATTTTTGCAACAGTGTCACACTGTTGACTCTCATTCAGCTCGTGGTCCACTGTGACTCCTAGATTCCTTTCTGCAGTACTCCTTCCTAGATAGTCACTTCCCATTTTGTATAAGTGAAACTGTTCCTTCCTAAGTGGAGTACTTTGCATTTGTCCTAATTAAACTTCATCTTATTTACCTCAGACCGTTTCTCTGGTTTGTCCAGATCATTTTGAATTATGACTCTTTTCTCCAAAGCATCTGCAACTCCTCCTAGCTTTGTAACATCTGCAAACTTAATAAGTGTACTCTCCATGCCAATATCTAAATCATTGATGAAAATACTGAACACAACCGGTCCCAAAACTGACCCCTGCGGTGCTCCACTTCTTATGCCCTTCCTGCATGACTCTGAACCATTAATATTTACTCTGAGGACGGTTATCCAACCAGTTATGCACCCAGCTTTTAGTAGTCCCATCTAGGTCGTGCGAGACCATATCAAGTGCTTTACTAAAGTCTAGGTATATCATGGGACTTTATATGTAGCACAGAGTATGCTGATAGATCTGGTGGTACATGGACCATAGATGTGTGACTGTGTACTCCTTGTATCCTGAGGGACCCCAAATAAGTTCACCAGTTCTGCAGCTCTTAGTCATGTGAATAGTTTCATTGAAGTCAATAGGTAAAACTTGCAGGGCAGATACACTAATTACCTATGGCACTTATGGGGTGATGGGGCAGTGACACACAGCACACTGCATGCAAGAAGGGGAGAGGGAAATGCTGACCATGGATATCCCAATTCATATGTGAAAATATGATGGGATATTAGTGTCCCTGCAGGAAAGATAGGACCTTGTTTTAAGGACTCATCCCTCTCTTCCATGGCCCACAGTAAATGACATAGAGCTCCATTTACTTACCCCACCTGAGATCACTTTATTTCAATCATCACATTAAAGACACATGAGAGTACAGATGCCATTTCATTTATTTATTTATTCATTTTCCAAAGATGAAACATGATAAAAGCAGGAAACCTCATTAGGCGGCAGGGAAAAGTCAGACAGGGCCTGGAGCCAGTGCTGTTAGCAAGGGGTCAGGCAGGAGGGTGAGATCTGGAAGATCTCCATCATAATATTTTTGGGAGGAAATAGTTGGTAAGACTGATAGTTACATGAACAAAGCATAAGAAAGGCTGCAAAGAGGAGGCAGGGACCTGTCCCTAGGGAGCCTCCTACTGCGAACACTCTGATCTCTTGATACTCTTGACGATAGCGCCCGTTTCGTGTGTCACCTCACATGTGTAGGTCTGATATGAATCGTACTCAGCTTTTGTGAGCGTCAGGGTGCTGCTCAGACTGTACTTGTGATCAGAAGGATCTTGCTGCTTCGTGCTGGTGAGGACACCAGTCGTGGCGGTGGTTGTGTCCTTTTTCCAGGCCACATTTAAGCCACCGGGGTAGAAGCCATTCACCAGGCACACCACGGTGGCAGTGCCCCCCTTCAGCTGGTCAGCCGATGGCGGGAAGATGGACACGGTTGGTTTGACAGGGCCTCCAACTGCAAAAAAGAGAGCATAGAATATGATGTTAATGACAACTGACCTGCATTCACAACTGTCAGGCCAAATCACTGTTGCTTTATTTATACAAGTGGTGCATCTGTGTGTGACCGAGGGAAGCTGCATGTGTCCCATGAACTAATTCATCCCCCGTTAGGGTTGCTAGAAGGTTTCAACAAAAATACCAGTCACACTTGACATTACATCACAATCTACATTACATCTTATTTAGAAAATACCAGACATTTATATTTTCTCATTTATATTTTCTCAATTTGTTTCCTGAACAGAAAGCTCAAATACTGGACTCTCTGGTTCAAAACCAGACACCTGGCAACCCTATCCCCCATAAATGCTAGGAAGAGAGGTAAGACATTATTCCCATTTTCTTGATGAGAAAACTGAGGCACGGAGCAGTTAAGCGGCACAGAAGATCAGAATAAATTACAGAGGAAGCTATACACATAAACCGTATAGGATATCAGTTCAGGTTTAAGAAAACACAGGGTCAGGTCCTCTGTGGGGGTAAAACAGCATAGCCCCCTGTACTCTAATGGGCTATTCAGCTTGACACCTGCTCAGAATCTGCCCTGTCATACCCAGTTTGCCACCTTGGCACTGCTTGTGTAAGGAAGTGCATCCCCAGGCGAGTCAGGGCTGTACAACCTGGCCCTGAGTGACACGAGAGCCCTTGACATGAGTGTAAGAGACATGCAGTGCCCTGGAAAGAGGCCTCCCCCAAGAGATACCAGAGGAAGGTGCCAGCATGACAGCTTTGGAGGTAAAGTCTTGTTTGTCGGCAGAGGTAGCAGTAGCAGTGCAAGCTTCCCACCAACTTGCCTATCGCCCTCAGCCCCAAGCTAGAGGAAGCTTGTCTGAGGGTGAAAAGGTGCTTTCCATGTCTTCTCTGCTTGCACTGCTACTGCAACGTCTGTAGATAAGCAAGACTTACACCTCCCGAGTTGCCATGCTGTCATGCCCTCTCTGTTGCAAATGACAACCCGGATGCCCACTGATGCCATATCCATGGCAGCATGAGCTCCCCTCTACCCTGGAAGCTGCAGTGAGCCTCTGCATCCTACAAGGGAAAGGCTCCAGGGTGAAATCTTAAATATTAATTTTGTCATTGAGTGGAGTCAAGATTTTACTCCAGATGCCTCTCGTTGCCAGTCCCCTGCTATTTTTCACAGGAGCTGTGCTCCTGTCCCTCCACTTAAAGTCAATTAGAGATACCAGGAGGGCTCAATAAAGACAGAGACCCGATTGTCCTCTCACACCAGTCCCCAGCATGGCTTCAGTAGGGTCGACCCAATATATGCAGGTGGACATGAGAGGAGAATCATGCTCTAGACTGGGGATGGGGAACCTTTTGTGGGTTGGGGGGCCACTGACCCATAGAAAGATCAGTCAGGGGCCACACACAAGTGAGAAGCACCTGACTGAAAAGGAAAAAGACGCACCTCACACGCCAAAGCCTAGTGGGGGCTCAGGCTCGTAGATTCCGTATACGCCAGCCCTGTGGGTGGTTGGCAGGGGGCTGGAGTGTGCCAGTGTGGGCTCCCCAATGGGGCCCGGATCCAGGCAAGCTGGGGGCAGCATCTAGCCCCTGTGCCTGAGATTCCCCACCTCTGCTCTAGACCCAAAATAATTAATATTTTCCTACTGCAGCCATTATACATGACTAGGACTAAAAGCTCAGAATCTTTTATATATAAAAAAGTGTGCAGCTAGCAAAAGACATGATGTTAGACTGTGGCAACATTTGACTTAGCAACTTTAAGTGGATGCGTATATCTCACTTTTGCCCCCTAATCAGTAAAAGCTAGGGTTGCCAGATGGTTTCAACAAAAATACCGGACACACTTGACATTACATCACAAGCTACATTACATCTAATTTAGAAAACACCCGACATTTCTATTTGCTCAGTTTGTTTCCCGAACAGAAAACTCAAATACTGGACTGTCCAGTTCAAATCTAGACACCTGGCAACCCTAGTGAAAGCCAGATTCTGCTCTTGGTGACATAGATGTAAATTGTATGTGAGTGAGTAAAAACTAGCCCAGAACATCAAAACATGAGGAAAACTAAGGACCCAGTCCTCAAGGGCAGCCCGTCCATATAGGTGAAGTAGGCGGTTGCCTAGGGCGCCAAGTTAAATGGGGCACCAAATGGTGGCGCAATATCATTGAGGGGTTTGGGGGGGGGGGCGCTGATTGCATGGTTCGCTTAGGGAGCCAGTTGCTGGCAGCTAGTCTAGGGCCACCCCTGCCTGTAGTTCTGCCCCAGGCTGTATCCCCACTGATTTCAGTGGCAGTTTTGTCTGAGCAAAGACTGCAGGATTAAGTCCTAATGTTGGAAAGCGCTGAAGAAAACAGAACATAGATCTTTTGTGGGTTGGGGGGCCACTGACCCATAGAAAGCTCAGTCAGAAAGCCAATTGGAGTCAAAATCATTCAGTTCCTCCCAGGCTCCTGCATTGCTACTGTACAAACTAAAACAATAACTTCTAGGTGTTGAGTCTAACAAAACAGGGTCCAGACTTTTAAAAAGTCTTGGGATCCCAGAAAAACACTCACATCTATGTTTTTACACATCTCTTAGCAAATGCACAGCATAAGGTAAAAGTCTTGATTCTCCTTTCATTTAAATCAGTGTTAAACTGGTGTAACTCTACTGTCTTTAGAGGTAGAGTGTGAGCACTTCTGCCATCAGTGGAGTCACACCTGATTTACACCAGTCTGAGAGAAGAATTATGCCCTATATATCATATGGACAGCTAGATTATACCACAAATTTGATAGCCTCTCTAATACATTTGAAATAGCACATTTGTATGTGTTAAACTACAAATGATAAAAATTGTTAGGGGCTATATCTAGAGCTAGATCTAGATCTATAAATAATTTTGGACTTTTTTATGAAAAAAAATTATATATCAGGCAGTTGTAGAGGACAGTCAAATGAAATTCTTTTCTTTTCTTTTACTATTGACTTTCTTAATGAAAAATGTTAATAGTAAAAGAAAAGAAAATAATTTCATTTGACTATCCTCTACAATTGCCTGATATATAATTTTTAAAATTCAAAATTTGTATAAGTAGAGCATTATGTCAAGACTACTGAAAAAAATCTTTCCCAGAGTAATTAATACAACAAAACCCTAAAACATACGAATCAACTACATTTTTCTGTCATCAGACACTTTTAGAAGAGTTAGCAATTTTTTCCACGGGCAAAATAAAAATATAGCATGCACGGCTGCTACATCTGCTTTCATAGATATATTACTAGAGTTGATATGACAGAGGTCAACATTTGTATAGGTCTTAAAATAAAATCCTTTAAAAATAATTATGAGATTGGATTGATATACAGCTAACAATGACTAGACCTCATCCAACTTACATCTTATAGAATACAGCTAGCAATTAATAAGGGAGGATAATTTAGTCAGACTGTACCATACCCTGAGTACATATTTTACATTTTTTTCCATGCAACTTCTTTGTGCTGGAAGCTTCCAATTAGCTTATTTTGTGCAGATTACTTATCATTTCAACAGGAATGTTTGTCTGCTCTGTAATTAGGTTTTTAGTATTTCTCTGTTCTTCATTTCTTAAAGCATTATTTTTTCTAAAACTCAACTTTTCTTGTTAATTTCCACTTTCTCTTAACGGGCTGCACTGCCAAAATGCCAGATTAAAACAAAAACACTTGTATATGACTTAATCTGTGGAATTTGTTAGGAAAGTCCAGGATTTTTCCACCCAAAATCGATAGAGAAAAGGACAGCTGAATTTTTACTAACGGTGTTGCTATCGTCAGATAAAGACCCAGGACCTACACTGTTCCTAGCCCACAATTCAGCCATGATATTCTTGTTTGTGAATGATATTAGATTTTTCTTTAAACATTCCCACTTGATTTTTAACCCTTGCAATTACATGTAAGGATTTGTCCGTTAATGACTGAGAATGAGATGAGACAGCAAAGAAAGGGACAGAGAGAAAAAACAGCATTTTTCCACATTTGTGCATTAAATTGAGCAAAATCAAAGGAAGTACGGATTAAACACAAATAAAATGCACTTACGTTTTATCTCCAGCTTGGTCCCTTTGCCAAAAGTGACCCACAGTGATTGTCTATAACCTTCCTCTTTTACCAAAATCTTTTTATTGCCCAACTCAATGAGTACTTCAATTGTAAGCAGGTTAATTTACGTAAATAGACCCATTTAACCCACATTCTATCTATGGAGGTGGAAATATTTTCCACTCTTGAGGGCTGGTATATTTTACACATATCTATACCCTCAGCAATTCTGTCCATGCTCACATTTCGTGAATTACACACAAAAATTACGAATACGGATAAACTGCATATAGAAAATGTAAAGAGAGTTCAAAATTGCACTTACGTTTTATCTCCACCGTGGTCCCCTTCCCGAAAGTGAACCACAGTGAATGACCGTGAACTTCCCCATCTACACAAACCTTTTTACTATGCAACTAAATGGACTGTCAATTTTAAGTGACTCGAGTTAGGTAAAATACAATAATTTAGCCCAAATTTTGTTTTTGGAAGTGAAGATTTTTTTTGGTCTTCAAAGGCATGGTCAATTTCATACACTCTACAATACTAATACTTCTGTCAGCACTCAGATTCTACAAATTGCAGCCACTGCACCTAAAATTGTCAAAATGGGCAAACTGGACAAAAAGAATTTGAAGAGAGTAAAAAAATGCACTTACGTTTTATCTCCACCGTGGTCCCCTTCCCGAAAGTGAACCACAATGATTGCCTATCAAGTTCCTCTCCTACAGAAACCTATCTACTGTGTGGCTAAGTGAGCCCACAGTAGATAGGCTAATTCATGTAATATGTAACAACTTAGCTCCACAATTCCAGCTAAGGCAGTAGAGTTGATTTTTCTTCTCATGGAAACATTTATTTTATACACTTTACCAGTCCCATCTTCCACTAAATCTGTTAGCATTCTCATATCATCAATTACCCCAACACAAAAAAACCATGAAAATGGACAAATGTGACAGAAAAACTGAAGGACATTGAGAAAAAGGTACTTACGTTTGATTTCTACCCGCGTCCCTCCTCCGAAAGTGTACCACAGTGCTTCTTTGCTACCTGTTCCCTCTACAAGAACCTCAGTTCCTCCTAACTGAGGCCATTAACTACATCAGTGACATTTTATGTTTTTGAGATATGATCCAGACCCTTTGCTAGTGTAAATCAGCATAACTCTATAGGAGTCACAATGTTTGAGACTGGGGAATGCTACTTTGATATACATCAGCTGGAGATCTGGCTAGCAACATTTTTTATCAGTACCAGACATGGAGCAGACCGACATTCGTGGGTCTGGAATGAAAAACAAAGTCCTACTTTCTCCAATTAATCTTTTTTCTATTACAGTTGAATTACTTTGTAAATCAGCATAACTCTATAGGAGTCACAATGTTTGAGACTGGGGAATGCTACTTTGATATACATCAGCTGGAGATCTGGCTAGCAACATTTTTTATCAGTACCAGACATGGAGCAGACCGACATTCGTGGGTCTGGAATGAAAAACAAAGTCCTACTTTCTCCAATTAATCTTTTTTCTATTACAGTTGAATTACTT